TGTGTGTGTAAGTGCATGTGTGTGTATGTGTGTGTATTCATGTCAAAGAATTGAACATTTTTGCGCATACAATGTTGCTGAACTATATATAGTTGCTTTTCCCCGGGCCTCAGTGAGTCTGGTCACATTGTCACACAGCAACGAGAATCAATCACGCGTGGTAATTGTTAACAAAATCAGAACAAGCTGGAACTAGACACCGCGTGTCTCCGGGGCAGACCGTATAGATAATTGATGGGATAAATTCCTTATGGAAGGGGACACCGGGTCATCTCGGGATCTCGACCGCTCTCACTCTCCTCGCTTCGCTGTCGTACATGTCGCCGAGTTCATTACCTTGATGCAAGGACGAGTTTGCTGACAGTCGGTTCATTTGTCAATGCTACTGTACAGTCGTCACTACCGTTGTTGGTATATAGCTACAGTCGGTACCGCAAACCCGCCATCGACTCTGTGTGGCTGCGATATTGGTTGTCTAGAAAACTAAGACCTAAGACCTAAGACCTGGAAAACGAAGACCTAAGACCTAAGACCTGGAAAACGAAGACCTAAGAACTAAGACCTGGAAAACGAAGACCTAAGACCTGGAAAACGAAGACCTAAGACATGGAAAACTAAGACCTGAAAAACTAAGATTTGGAAAACTAAAACCTGGAAACCTAAGACCCCTGGAAACTATGACCCTCGTATAAAGCCTCTTTGGAAATGCTGCGGAATTGTGTGTAATAACTTTTTGCTTCTATCATACCGATCACAGCAATAATCCTGTTTAGCTTATTTTTTTTAATAGGGTGCGAGAAATCAGGTCGTAAAGGCATGTACGTTACTCAAATCGAACACAAACAGATCATGAATAAAACATGAATTCCGAATCGATTAAAAAAAATAATCGAAATAAACGAATCGAACACAAATCGATTACAAAGCGAACATAAATTGATTTACCAATCGATATAACTAATCGATTACAAATCGGACACAAATCAATTACAAACCGAACACAAATCGAACACGAGTGTTCAGTGAGAGTGC